AAACTAGAACACAAAGTAAGACAAGTTTTAAAGGTTCAAAGATTACTTGTTCTCTCATTTAAGTACATTATGCAATTAAAAGTGATCCAGAGTTCAAATGAACGCTTCCTCGCAATTAACGGCAGAAACACAGGAAATCACAAGTGAGGTCGCCAAGGGTTTTCTCTACACAATGTAGACAAAGAAGGAAAGCAAGCAAAGTTGGGAAAGCATTTTTTCAAACTTCAAGGGGATAACAACCTGCAGAGACAGCATGAGACAGACCCAAGCAAGCGAGATAAATCACCACCTCACGCTTGCTTAGAGGAGAAACAGAACTACTAGATTGTTTTGGAGCTGTGAGTAATTTGTTATGACATATTATGCCATAGTGATGTTGAATTCTTGAATCTGATTGGTCAGAAGGTGTTCATTCATTTTCTATAACAGCAGCTCTGACAATAGTGCCAGCTGTAATTCAAATCACAGGTTTATATTAATGCTTGTTCTAATACTTTATCATTTCTGTGGCAGATGCTCCACATAATAAGTGGATTACAAATGAGTTGGTATTTAACAAAGATGTATAATCATAGAAATAGTGACGCTTTCTGTAAGATATTTAAATAATATTTATGAAAGGAGTCTCAGGTGTCAGCATGTTATAGTTTTCCTTCAGGACAGAGGGCTTTGATAAGAGAAAAAAAGAAATGCTGGAGAGGGACCAACTGTTTACAGCTGCTCTAACGTAAGTTATAAGAGGAACTAACTTGTCTTACAGATGTTTCACAACATTAACTGTAACTATAAATGGTTACAAATATGACTTGTCGTTCTTTAATAAATGAAAAATTGTAATCTTGACAAATTGTTATGGTATAAAACAGCTGGAATGTGCAGTTATTAGAAAATAATCCACTTCATGGTGGTGACTGTAACTACTCCATGCCACCCCATTCTTTATTATTCATTATTTTCCTATAGCGGCATACCGCATCATATTTATTTCTTACTTAAGCCAAACCTGTCAATTGGATTTATTAACACGAGAATGGGTGTTGTTTGCTTGATTTTAAAAGAGGTTGTGATCTATATATTATAGAAAACATGGTTTATTTTATTGGCATATGACTGTTTAATGGGGAGCCAATGTACAAACTAAATGACAGCTTTTGGAGAACATTCTGTGTTTTTTAATCGCCGTGATCATTCTAGGAAGTCCACCCAGTATTTCCCTTGCATGGATTCTTATTAACTACCACAAAAGCAATCAAATGGCTGACATATATATGAACATAAATATAAATGTTGGAAGTAGATCATACATGTGGTATTTTGTTCATGTGATTTAATTCAGTTATAAATGATTATATTAGTTCTTTACTCTTTATTTAGGTTGCTGTGTAGGTCACTGCATTCAGTGATGAAGAACAAGCAGCACTGAAGGTAGCATCAGTTACAGAAGACCGCAGTGGAAAGTGGGGCGTAATCTTTGTTAGCTGTGGAAAAAAGTCATGGGGCAGAATAATGACCACCTGATGACAAAAGAGCTCTGATAATGAATAGGTTAAGAAGGTGAAAGGGTCTAGAGAGAACAACAGTAGGAAGCCCTGCACTCCATAATTGTACAAAAAGTACTTGATTTGAAGGGTCATTTAGAGAACTAGGAGGTTTTTTTTTGGAATGTCCACCTTTTTTCCAAGAATCATCCACTTTTTAGTGCTGCCAATTTTTCAGAGATTTGATTTTCCAAAGGTGTCTCTGTGTAAAATGATAATTTACTAACAGAGTCTATGCAGGCTTGGGTATGTCAAACGAGCAAAATACACTTCTTGTGTGCTTTAATTTCTGTTTATACAACAATTAGTTCTGGTTCGCTAATTTGATTAGTTGAGCAGCGTTCAAAGAGTGCCTATATTTCCTATCACGACATTTCACTGTGTATATCACTCCACTCGTCTGTGTTTGCCACATAATTCCACTTCTTAGTTCAAAACGGTTACCACAGTAGAGTTAGCAACATCATCAGCGGAAATGGCAAACGATACTTTTCAGGAATATAACTTTTTGCTTAAAATATGAAAGCTCGTCAATCGAAGATGAAAAGGAAGAAGAGACGCCCATTTTATCGGAAGCACATTTAACAGGAACATACAAATCAATCTGAGCTAGCTAGGCAGCTAGCCAATGTGTTATAAAGTGAGTGTGGTTCCTTCAGGAGCTATTTCTGCTAGTGGAGCAAAAATATACAGAACCATATTGTGTTCAAAATGTCACCTACTCGATATTAATTTCTTGTTTATAGAACTGTTGTATAAAATCAATATCGCATGGGCAAGAGTGCGGTTATACTTAATATAATTAATAATAATAATAATTAGCTGCGGCAAATCACAGCCATGCAGATATTTAGTATAACCGCATTCTTGCCCATGCAATATTGCTTAATTGTATTATATACTAAACAGTTTTTTGATATGTCTTGATATTATACTTAATGCATAACTATGTCTGCATGTGGAAAATTTCAAGGAAGGACACTAAAGATTTTATCCCATTCTTGGATGTAGTTATTTTTGGCTGTGATGTGATGGCTCAGAGTGATGTTGGGGAACATAGCACCCTAATGAAAATTTTAGGTAAGACTGATTATTTATTGTTCACACTGATGTTACAGGTTATTGACCTAAGCGTGTAACATTAATAATTCACTTCAACCCTTTGTTCAAGCCCTGTAAAATAATTAAATCAGATGTAGACCCTTTTCCTGTGTGTTATAGAATATTAACTGAAATCACAAAGATTCCTGATGAAAATACTATTAATAAAACTTCACAAAATAATAATGGATAATAATCACAAATTCCATACAGCTATAGTGGTCTGATACTAGTGGCATTTTAAGCATCACACTGAGAGGAAAAGAAAGTTCACGTGTCTACACACACACACACACACACACACACACACTTCAGCAGTGTGCTGATGTGTGCATCCGTGACAGGATGGAGTTCACTGAGGCAAAATATCCACAGGCCAATCGATAGTGCTGAAGCTTTCGGAACCTAATCTGACCCTCTAGCTATACCCCTGGGGTGATGCTGAGCCAGTCGTGCCTCACCGAAGCAGATCCTGGGCACTGGTGCAGCTCACAGGCTCCTGTTAAAGAGCTCACAAATACACTCCAGGTGAGTGTCTTTGTTCTGTGAGTCACCCTGAGGCCATATAAAATACAATTAGTAAAGAGGGCACTTGTACAGTCTGAGAGCAAAAGTGCAAGGCTCAAGCCCCCTCTGGGGGTCAATCTGTGTATGCCTGGTGTGCTTTATCTAAGGAACAAAACACACTTCCAAAAAGAAATAGCTTCACAGAAAGGTTCAGTAATATTAACAATTACACATGATTTTTAAGCAGTTTGTCTGAAGTGTACCTGTGTGAACTGTTACTATAGAAATAATAACATATTAGAACAAGCACACTGATGTTATAGAATGTTAATTAACATCTTCTGACCATTCAGAATTTAGCCATTAATAAGTACTGTAATATGAGTAAGAAATAAAACACAATGGGCCATGACGTTAGAGGAAAACAATCAGAACTCATCAGTGTGTTTAACATCTCTGTGCATGAAATCGCTTAACATCTGGGACTTTTGCACATGTGAAACAGTACTTGACTGTTGATATGGCCATGATATTTCCAATAATGGAATTTTCATCTATCAAGGTTTTTGTATAGCATAGCGTTCTTGGCTGACTGCTGCTGTGACTGTGGCACGGTCATGCGTAATGAAAGAGGACTGGGAACCAGTGGCATCCTCTAGCCTATTAGGTGAATTTGTTGTCCAGATGCAGGCTGCTGGATGGAGCAAAATGGGAGAAATGCCTGCCTTTGCACTCTCCCCCATGGACAACTTTCCAGGACTCCATCTAGCATGGTTGCTTGCAGGTGGGTCCACGGATCATCTAACTGGCTTTGGCTAGAATCCACACACTAAACAGTAGGGCCTATTCTTCCAGTCTTGCTAGTAGAAGGGACTAAATCACTATCACAATCAAATTGACACATGAAAGGAAACATGCTTAACTAAAAAGAGAACTTCATAAACTTGATAAAACAATAATATTGGACAGTAAAAAAAGTTGAGAATAATAATATATAATAATAACAACCAGAAAATAATAGATAGAGTGCTAAGCTAGCAGGAAAAACCACTTACATGCAGGATTGCTAAATTATATCCATCGTGCAAGGGCGACAGTCACAGAAGGCCTTTGGGAAACTAAAGATATACAGCACAGATCCAGAAGCAGGCCCACTGCTATAAATCAGTTCCTGCTGTGCTGAGGTAGGCTTGATTGGTTTTATCTGAATGGCAAATAAGCCAGGTTTGCTGACAACAAACTCCTTATCAATATGTGAATGTTATTATCCTTGTGGCAAAATGTTTCCATGCTGATAATTTTTGAACTAAATTCTAAAATGGTAGTTCAATAAAGGGATAAAAAGAGACATGTGGACATGCAAGTCTCCAGCTGCTAACCAAGAACATGAGTTATACCAAAAAACCTCACACATCAAAATGTCAAGTATGAAAATCCCTTAAATTTATGGAAGGTATTTCTATTTTAACAGGATGAACGTTGATTTTTTTTTTTTTTTAAACTTGAATATCCTATTTTTATTACAAAATAGGATCAGAAAATAAGGTAGCAATAAACAGATTAATCAAGGGTTAAAACTGATGCTTTGTTTCTCTTTTTTCTGAAAGTGTAGGTACCATCCATTTTCCATACAGCTTATCCTACACAGGGTTGCGGAGTAGCCTGGAGCCTGTCCCAGGGGACTCAGGGCACACCATGGAGGGGGTGCCAACCCATTGCAGGGCACAACCACACACTACAGACAATTTGGAAATGCCAATCAGCCTACAACATGTCTTTGGACCGGGGAGGAAACCATAGCACCAGGAGGAAACCCCCGAAGCACAAGGAGAACATGCAAACTCCACACACACAGGGCGGAGGTGGGATTCAAACCCTCAACCCGGAGTTGTGAGGCAACAGTGCTAACCACTAAGCTACTGCACCCCTGAAAGTGTAGTTACAGTTTACATAAAGTAAATTTAACAAGCAGGATTTCTGTACAAGCATCAAGCCTCAGACATGCAGTATCAAATCAGAATAATGTTTGAATGTCACCCAAAGTTCTTCAATCTGTGACTGTGTCAGAGAGCCGAGCTCAGTCCTTAAACATTTCACCTTCTAAGTCAGTGCGCTAAAAAAAAGGAAGACTACACTCTTGACAGTTGCATCTGGCAACATTGCTTAAACAGCTCCAAGTAACTCACATGGTGCTAATTTACACCTGGTATTAGGTAGCAGAGAAAATCACATGCAAAGCTGGCTTCTGCTAATTGCCCAAACTTTAGCATTTGTTTCAGTTCCCCTTTTTACGATTAGCTGCAATAATAATAATAATAACTTCATGGCGATAAACTGCTTCATGATTACGCAACATTCAGAAAGGCCAGCAAATCAATGGAAGATTGGCTTATATCTGTCAAATAGCAACATTTTTTCTAAAATCACATTGGTCACTCAAGGTAATTAATATTCAAACAGAATTTAAAATGCATGTAAAATGTGAATGAGGATTTGATGAACATTAACATTTGTTGATCCGCTGCCCCGCGCCTGCCCTTATGGACAATATGCCACTGGGAGAAGTGTACTTTGTGTGTTGCTGCCTGGGGTTTGAATTACACGTTTAGCCTATTATGGCAGTTTCAAACATAATACGTAATGTAGAGAATGTGGGTGCAAATGGCATCGTACAGCTGGCCCATGAGCCAAAGTGCTTCATTCTACTACATGGAGGAAAAGTACACTGTGCTCCACATGGTTGAGTTATCTCTGAAAAGCTTGCAGTCTCTGGTATATTTTTTTCTTTAGCCTCTGCAGCAATGCAGTTGTCTTGATTAATTGGAATACTTAATTTGTCATTAAGCTTGATTAATTCAATTAATCTATCAAGCCTGTAGTCATTCTGTAATGTCAGTGATAATCGATTATTCACCATGGTAACCGGAGTAGAAATGACATTTAGAGTATCTACATCTCTGCTTCACACTCTTACATTTTCATGACTGTGAAAGAATTTCCACCAGCTGTGCTGGTACAATATCCTGCTACTTGTTATCGTGTTATCATTTATTTAGATTATAGACATGTTGATGGACCAAACAGGAAATGTAATATTAAACTCAGCAAATGTCTTTGCATTGTAAAATCACGAGTCAGCTCTTAAAGTTTTTGAGTTAGAGTCCTTGTTGAAGACTAATCAATAAGTCTCAATTTAGCCAAGAGACAGTTTAGCTGGGAAGATGACATAGTTCAATAACTTTTTTTTTTCTCTAACAAAATAATCTAGCAGGAGGTAACAATATAAATGCCACATTAGAATGCATTAGATTGTCAACTGAAAGCTAACACTGATCATCAAAGTTGTGGAAGAGAAGAATGTCCATGTCGCTGTTAGCTTTTATGCTTTTATGGTAATTGGTTTTATTTTTGCTGGTTGTGTTTGGTTATCTTTTTCATTAGGGCTAGGTAACTTTAGCAGGCACATGAAAACAATAAAATACAATATGCTCCACAGGGCAAAGTTTAGTTAAACCTAGACAGGGATTTTTTTTTTTATGCAGATCTAATCATATTGTGATTACTGCAGATATCTGTGCAAGCTTAAATAGCAATGCCCATGTTTTCAAGTCGAGGAGCTTCTAAAAATTGCAATTTCTTGGGATTTGTGACTTATAGCACTTGATAGCAGCCTGGTTAAATGTGATTAGTTATTTTAATGAACACTGACTGAGCAGCCTAACAAAGCCTCTTTGCCATTGTAGATAAAGGATTTACCAGCCCTTTGATGGGAAAAATTAAACAGCAAATGCCTTACCTGTCCAGTTTAGTACTCTCTTATACACTCAGTACGGTTCTGCTGGGAGGTGTCTGATCAGAGCAGCATAGAAGCCATAAAAGTATTCCCAGAGGACAGAGTTAAGAGCTTTTTGCTGTTGTTTATTCCACTTGACCTTTAATTATATGCAAAAATCATCCTGTGTGACTATTTGAACAACAATTTTACTTCAAGTGCTACTGCTTTACATTAAATAGCAACTCCCGAAGTTTTTTCCTGTTGTCAAGCACCTATGTTCAAACACCTTTTACCTCCCTCGCTGCTGAACATCTTGACATAGAAAGACGCTCCAGGTTATTTATTTGTGAAAAGAAGATTGAAATGTGTGTTTTGATCATTTTCACAGGGAATACTCAATTTATTGTGTTTTTTTCCCCCTCAACAAAACTTGACATCTTTGGCTGTTTCCTATAACACAGCCTGTGCTGTCTCTCTTGCATGTTTGTTTTCGCACAACCTGGCATATTTTAATGTGAGATGATGGTACTCTGTAGTAGTAGTAGTATTAGTAGCAGAATTAAAAGCTTATTGAAACATTATAACCAGTACTTCTTTACAATGTATACTATAATAAACACTCCTTTCAGATGATGCAGGAAAAGGGACTTTGTGTGCAATAAGCTAAGCTTTCTGTCAAGCTTATAAACTTTATTTGATCATATACAGTGGTAATGCTTATTTCTAATAATCTGATATTCCACAGACAATTTATAATATATTTACTCACAGTGAAAAATTGCTAAAATGAAGTTCTGTGCTCCAGTGAACGGTGAGTGCCGATGGTTGTAGGTCGTGGGCAGTGTGAAATAAATTGTGTGAATTGAACATTTCACTTTAAATAAATTCACAACTTAAGTCTAAAATAATAATTCCACAAAATATAAATATATAAATTAGAAACTTAATTTATATGTTTGTAGTGGAAAGTTGGCAAAATTAATGCATTTTACTGTATGTATGTATGTTTGTACATATGTATGTGTGTATGTATGTACATATGTATATGAGTATGTATGTGCATGAGAAACATAATAATAATAAACACTACTTTTGATCTAATTGGCAGTTAGCTCAGATTGTGTTATTATAACATGCCTATACACTGTAGATATATTGTAGATATACTAGTATGTTGTGGAACAGCCAGTGGGGTTTCATAATGTCAGGACAAATTTGGAACAACTGGGTCACGGTTTGACATGCTTTCTGTCATTAAACCTGGCAGTCACACTGTGGCTCCAGGAGAGTTAATGGGCTGCCAGTCACACTGAGAGAACAGAATAGACAGAGACAGTAATACCTGTAGCCACTGAGACTGATCACTATGCCCAGCCGTCCAGGCATTGACCTTTCCCTGCTTGTCCAGACGGGCTTTGCTGGGCTCCCAGGTAAACATGTCCATGTTGAGGGTTCGGAAAGTGCTGGATGCTGTGATCTGGTAGTCCTGTATGTGGCCAGACTTCAGCCCCAGAGGCTCTGAGCATCCTACAGCGTTAAACAGCTTATTAGCTAGAGGTTATACCAATGTGGCAGACAGATTTGAAAACTGATGTACACTGGGGTGGAGATTTAACAAAACAACACAGTGCTAAGCAATGCAATTTATATGGTATATGGTTGCAGTGGGTTCGGCAGTAAATAAACCTGTGGTGCCAACCATAGGTCAAGTTAAAATAAGTTAGAATTAATAAGATTTCAGATGGATAAATTTGTCACAGTACTACAACTGCTAACACTACCCTTCACCCTAACTTCAACTATTCAAAACTTTTCAAATTCATTCCATTTGTTTATTTCTATAGTGCTTTTAAGAATAGATAACGCTGCTTTACACAAATCTGGATGTAGATTTAGATCACTAATGAGCAAGCCAGAAGCGACAGTGGCAAAGAAAAACATTCTGAAACGACAGGAAGAAGAAACCTTGTGAAGAACCAGATTGAAAAAGGAACCCATCCTCTTCTGGGACTATAAATCATTATAGTATATAGGTGTAGAAAAGTTAAAGACAAAAGTGTGTTGAAAGGATGTACAGTATGAGCATACTGTGAGCACAGGACAGTCTTTATGATTACAGCAGCAGCTCTTAGGTATAAATCTACCAGGTGATCTAACCAGGTGAGAGTATCCACTGAAGACTAACCTGTGAGTTCACAGCCCAGGAGCTCCATGCGCAGAGTGCAGTGTCTCCTGCAGACTTGTGGGTAAATCCTCACATACTGAGCCTCGATAGGGGGAGTGAACGAGTTGGCCGAGGGAGTGTTGTTATCGATGTTACCCCGGAATATCTGCACATGGACAGCCAAACAGAGATGTCAGTGTTAACATTAAAGATCATTCTTTCAGTGTTGTTGTTGTTATTGTTGTTGTATGGGTTAGTCAACAGGCCTATAGTATTAGTTATAATACAGACTAATAAAAGAAGTGTAATATACAAGCATGTCATACTAAACCACAGGAACAATACTTCACTGTCATACAGCCAATAAACAACTTCATCTCAGCAAAATGACATAGACATAAAAAAGAACATCCTTGACAAAAGCAGACAATGATGCAGCAAAATTTCCACCCAAAGTCATTAGAGGAGATCATAAAAAAAATAAAAAGATAAAATAAAACAAGAGTGGGAATTGAGGCTGGGTAATAGAAAATGAAGGGAGGGGCTCCGTCAAAAATGATGGAGCATTGCACATCCTTGGTGGCCCTAGTGGCTCTCCTTCATCCCGAAACAGTATAAAAAATCCAATCTGAAGAGCTGTTAAAGTGTGTGGAGTGTGAGGCACGCTGAGCCGGCGGCTAATTAAAAACACATCTCACCATATCCTCGTCCGTGCCCTTGACTTTGTATGTCCTCCATGTCTTTCCGTCGTCGCTGGAGGCCACTTTGTATGACTTGACGTACTCAGGGCTCCCAATCCGCTTGGCCCCCTGGGTTATCAGGCCTGTGACCCGCATCCTTCTCTGCAGGTTTATCTGGATAGAGAGAGAGAGAGAGAGAGAGAGAGAGAGAGATGAGTAAAGATGAGGTAATCAGTGGTGCTCTTTCCAAGGAGGCTAGAGGGAAGAATGGAGTGAGCTCAGGGGAAAAGAAGGCCTCTAACTTGTT